ATTGCGACGTGATATGCCGCGTTTGTTTGATATCCTGAGAGGCCTACCCTTTCCTGAAGGGAAATGGAGGAGGAGTGGATCTAGGGAAGAAGAGAATTGGGAGGAGAAACCCTTGGTTGGGATGTACTATATTAGAGAAGAGTATGGTTTGTTTTTCTTGTTGTTTATTGTTTTTGTTTTTTAAAGAAGAGTGGTTTCTTGGCTTCCACAGATGATCACAACTTTAGTAAGTTACTGGAGTGTGAGTTAGAGAGGTTAGATTATTTGCCCTTTGTAGTAGAAGGTGGAGCTAAGTACTTTAGAACTTGTATTCTGCCGGGCAGTGGTGGCGCATGCCTTTAATCCCAGCACTTGGGAGGCAGAGGCAGGCAGATTTCTGAGTTCGGGGCCAGCCTGGTCTACAGAGTGAGTTCCAGGACAGCCCGGGCTACACAGAGAAACTCTGTCTCGAAATACCAAAACAAACAAACAAACACACAAACAACTAAAAAACAAAAAACAAAAAAACAAAACAAACCCAAAACAAACAAACAAACAAACAGACAGACAGAAAACCCAAAACTTTGTATTCTAATGAATAGGTCAAGAAACAAAATTTGCTTTACATTTGTTCCTATTGTTGTTTTGAGACTTGTTCTGTAGTGGCCCAGGCTAGTCTAGAAGTTTGGGCAATCCACTGCCTCAGTCTCTGAGGGGCTAGGACTAGGGGGTGAGTCACTGTTCCTCCAGGATCTCTTTTATTTTTAGACAGAGTTTCGTGTAGCCCAGGCAAGTCATGCCATAGCTGAAGATGACTTTCATATTCTGATTTTCCTGCCTTCATCTCTCCAGTTTCGGGACTACAGTTCTGTCCCACTAAGCTAGGTTTTACCTGCTAGTAGGGTACTGAGGCAGAGAGAAGTATTCTACAAACTGAGGTATTCTAGATGCCTTCAAGCATGGCTCTTTTTTTTTTTTTGTTTTGTTTTTCGAGACAGGGTTTCTCTGTGTGTCTCTGGCTGTCCTGGAACTCACTCTGTAGACCAGGCTGGCCTCGAACTCAGAAATCCACCTGCCTCTGCCTCCCAAGTGCTGGGATTACCACCACCGCCCAGCTGCATGGCTCATTTTTGTTGTTGTTATTTGAGAATTTTACAGTTATATATAATGTTTTCATCAAATCCACCCCATCCTCTCTTCTCCATTTCTCCCCTTTCCATTCAATTTCTTTTAAACTGACTGATTCTACCTGATGCTGCCTGTGCATACATGGGTGTAGGGCCATTCAGTAAAACCTCTTAGGTCACTCATCCATGAAGAAAACTGTCTCTTCCTCCCCCAGTGGCCGCCAACCCTCCAGAGCTCCTCAGCTAGCTTAAGACCACATGGACCCTTCTCCCATCCATGCATGGCTTGAGCTGGCTTGTTCTTGCTCCATTCCTGGTCCTAAATGTGGGATTTCGCGAAGTGGGTAGTACTATTTTCCTAAAATTACAAAGGAAGAAGCAGAGGACGAGAGTGCTTGAGTGTCTGAAAGTGAATTGGATGACTGAAGGAATTACACTTTTTTTTCTTTTGAGATAATCTCATTATGTATCATTGGCTATCCTGGAACTCACCATGTAGACCAGGCTGGCCTTGAATTTACAAAGATCAACCGGCTTCTGCCCCTAAATGTAGAGATTAAAGATGTGCACCACTATGCCCAAGCAAAGGAATCATACTTAAACTGTCTTAGTTAAGGTTTCTGTTGCTGTGATAAAACACTATGACTCAAGTCAACTTGGGGAGGAAAGAGTTTATTTCATCTTACAGCTTCCCATCATCTTGGCAAGATAAGGCAGGAACTCAAGGCAGGAACTGAAGAACATTGGTGTCTTATAGCACCCAGGACCACCAGCCAGTCTAGCGTTAGTACTGCCTGCAGTGAGATTGGCTCTCCCAGATCAAGCATAAAAAAAAAAGAAAATTCAACACAGGTTTGCCCATGGGATAATCTTGTGGAGGATTTTTTTTTTTCTTTCAGTTGAGGTTCCTTCTTCTAAAATATATCTAGATTGTGTGCAGTTGACATAAAACTAGCCAGCACATCTGGTACACCAGTACCTGGACCTTATAGTTAGGATAGCTGTCACTTAAGTTATTATTGTTGGAAGGATTGAGATAGCAGCATATTTCAATAAATCATAGACTATCAGGTTTGTTTATTTATTAAGACAAGGTCTCCTTATGCTACCCAATCTGGCCTGGAACTACAAGGTTCCAGTGACAGATTCTTCTGCCTCGGCCTTAGACTACAAATGCATGCCAGTGTGCCTGCCCTCCCATGGACGATTATGCCTGTTTAGGCATGGGAAGCTTTTGAGTTAGCAACCATTGACTTATACCTGTGTTCACTGATGTCTGTGTCTTGAAGCTTGGCAAGGAATAAAGAGTGCATCCTTGGTTATCGGATCTCAAGCCCTATTTACACCTTTCTGAGATAAGAACCTTCCTGGAATGGGACTGGCCTTGGGCATCCTCACATCAGACTTGCAGCTTCTGAATTAGTAACCTTTCCATCCCAGGCACTTCCTCCAGCTCCAGTTAATTCCCTCTCTCTTGCAAAGATCCTATTTCCAAGGGAAAAGGCTGCAGCCGCTTCCCCTGCTTTCTATCTGCACATGGTGTTTTGCTTTTATAGAAAATGATTTAATTATGGAAAATGGGCAATATTTTTCTACCTCAGTATGTATCATATTAGCATATATTTTGGTTAGAATGTTTGATGTTGAAAATGACTGAGTTGTTGACTTTCCTTCCTTCCTTCTTTCTTTCTTTCTTTCTTTCTTTCTTTCTTTCTTTCTTTCTTTCTTTTTTTTTTTGGTTTTTCGAGACAGGGTTTCTCTGTGTAGCCCTGGCTGTCCTGGAACTCACTCTGTAGACCAGGCTAGCCTCAAACTCAGAAATCTGCCTGCCTCTGCCTCCCAAGTACTGGGATTAAAGGCATGTGCCACCACTGCCCGGCAGTTGTTGACTTTCGTTAAAAAAAAAAATCATTAAATGAAATTTTGGCTTGGAACTAGGACAGAACTTTCAACAGTTTCTGAAATGGCCCTAAACATACTTCTGCCATGTTATACACCAGTCTCAGGACTAGCAATTATAAAATAAACAAGTGAAAAATGTTGAAGACACCCTATGTTCTGCAGTATTAAGCAGTCAAGATTTAATTCTGTATATAGAAACAATCACATCCGTTTATTATTTATTATTACTAAGGAATGATCCTGGGTAAGTGCTCTGCCACTGAACTATAGTCCCAGCCCAAAGCACAGCTTATTGTCTTTAATGAATGGCAATTTTTTATACATACCCAGGAATTGTTTCAAAATTAATTTATGGTTATCAGTAAATGTTTGATTTTTACCTATTTTATACAAATATAGCTTGGGGTCAGATAAATATTTTTGAGGCAAAAAGAGGTCATGAGTGGAAAAGTTCAAGACGTCTTGGTATAAGACTACCCTGAATGGGTACTGGGATAGGATACAGCTATTCAAAGATGGTCTCAAAATTTAAAAAAAAAAATGTGTTGGGATGGGCTCATGTGGAGGCTAGAGTTGGTTCTTTCCTTCCACCATGAAGTGTGTGGGAATCGAACTCAGGTTGTCAGGATTGCTGGAAGGGACCTTTTCCAGCTGATCCATAGAGCTCTCCACACTTCTCTCTCTTAAAGTAAAAATTACGGAGTGGCTTTGCCTTTTTCCCTTCAACTTGCTGTTAGATCATAGTCGTCTTCATTTTCCTGTAGCACTGTCTTCCTTCAATTGTCGATTTAATTTTGACTTTTATTTTGCTCTTTAACATGGTGAGGCACAGTGTCTGCATTTGATATAATTCTGCTGACAAACTTGCATCCAGTCCTGGCTAAGCAAAGTGCTTTGCATGCATTGCCTCATTTAGCCTATCTAATAAACGTCTATTAGAATCTGTGGGTCGAGTAGGGGCTTCCAGGAATGTGACTTACAAAGCGGCCACCCTTTCTTGGAGAGAAGGAATAGAGTTGAGCAGCTGGCAGTGGGAAGGGCAAGGCCTCCTCCCTCTTCCCGGCAGCTGTCTGACCAAGCCCGACCTCCTTTCTCCAAAGGCTGGGGTCTCCACCTCTGGCCCAGGTCCAGTCGGGTGGGAGGGTGTGTGGCTTTTTCCGGGTCACTGGCACACCCTCTCTATCCTAGCCACCTGCCCTGGTTCCATCCCAGTTCCAGGCTCCCTGGAGGGACCCAGGGACATTCCAATCCTCCCACTACCCTCGCAAACGCCGCGGGAGGAGGGAAGGGGGCGCAATTGCATGGCCTTCTAGAACGCAGCTTTGTCTCGGCCTTTTTTCAACTCCTAGAATCCAAATTCACTTCGGAGAGGAAACTAAGGATTGATGAAAGGCTTGAAAGTTGGTAGTTTACAGTCGACTCGTTGGCGAAGCCGCATCTTCAGCAACAGCGGCACTTTTTGGAAACTGTCTTGCAGACAATTGAAAGCCAAACGGCCAAGTTGTCTCCTCACCAGACCAAATATGGTCACAAGCGCTAAGCAGCCTTCCGTGGAAAGTCTGGCCTCGCGGGTGTCTCCCTGAGCCAGGGTGCGCCCCGGACCGACCTCTGGCAGATCCGCGCCCCGTGCCACATTCCGGGGACTAGGCGCTCCCCTCAAGGCTAGGGCAAGCGCCCTGGACAGACTCATTCAGGGCCCTGGACCCTCAACCGCGTGCCCTCCGTTATTCTCCGATTTGGTTTTTGTCCATAACCCCTTGATTTAAGAGGCTTGAACCATTTTCCCTTTGATCCCGCCCCAAGTCAGTGGTAAACTCAAAGGAATGCAGATAGAGCTCTCGGCGGGAGAGGTCGGCTCGGCGCGGCGCGGCGGGGCGGGGGCACCGTCTCTCCCGAGCTGCGAAGTGCCCAGCCCACCCCCGCCAGCCGGTCCAGGGGGGGAGGAGGAGGAAGAGGAGGGGCGTGGGGCAGGCTGGCTCCGGCCAGGAGGTCATGCATAATTCAACAGCTCCACTTTCGGCCCGCCTCTTTCCTAGGGGTGGGAGTTTGCTGCAAACTTTGTTTATGGGACAGTCCGAGAGCCGCGGCGGCCGAGCTCGTCTACGTCTTCTCTGTCGCTTCCTCGCGCAGAGCGAGCGCCGGAGGCCGGCTCCGGGGATGTAAGAGGATAAACCTTCGGCTGCTGGGAATCCGCTCGGGATCTGCCAGCCGGGGCCGAGTTCCAGCTCGTCAGTTCGGGAGGCGCCCAGGCTTGGCTTCCCCGCGTGCCCAGGTAGCTCCAGCCGCGCCCCGCACCCTCTCTGGCGTCCGGTTCTTAGACGACCGCAGTCCAGACGCTTGGGGTCGGCGGCGGGAGTATTGGTCAGGGGAGGCTGCGACTGAGTCTGGTCCAGGCACCCCCGTTCCCACCTCCTCCCGCGGCTGCCTGCTCAGAGGAGCTTCTCTGCTGCGGCAAAGTTGCATAATCTCGGAGGCCAGGGGCGCCCCCTCCCCCACCGGCTGGTCCCTGGACCCACACCTAACTGTCTCTATGTTCTCTCTGTCCTTCCCCCAGGACTCCCCGCCTCCTCTGACTTGCACTAAAAGATCTGACCTGATCTTTCTTTTTCTCTGGTAGAAAGATGAATCCGTCCTCGGTGCCCCATCCGCTCCCGCCGCCAGGGCAGCAAGTCATCCACGTCACGCAGGACCTCGACACGGACCTCGAAGCCCTCTTCAACTCTGTCATGAACCCCAAGCCCAGTTCGTGGCGGAAAAAGATCCTCCCGGAGTCCTTCTTTAAGGAGCCTGATTCGGGCTCGCACTCGCGACAGTCCAGCACCGACTCATCGGGCGGCCACCCCGGGCCTCGACTAGCTGGCGGCGCGCAGCACGTCCGCTCGCACTCGTCGCCCGCATCCCTGCAGCTTGGCACCGGTGCGGGCGCCTCTGGAGGCCCTGCACAGCAGCATGCACATCTCCGCCAGCAGTCCTATGACGTGACCGACGAGCTGCCGTTGCCCCCCGGGTGGGAGATGACCTTCACAGCCACTGGCCAGAGATACTTCCTTAAGTAAGTCTGTCGGCAGCCTAGGGGGCAAAGTTGCGATGCCCCGATACTCATGCGTTTGTGGGGTGTGTGTGTGTGTGTGTGTGTGTGTGTGTGTGTGTGTGTGGTGTGTGACAGAGAGAGAGAGAGCCTCTTCCAAGGTGCTTCAGAGAGAGAGAGGAGAGAGAGAGAGAGAGAGAGAGAGAGAGAGAGAGAGAGAGAGAGAGAGAGATCTGCAAATTTAAAAAAGTAGGGAATGAGTCTCTGGGAGTTGGACTTGAACAGAGCTGAGAACAGTTTGGTGAAATAAGTTTAATTTCATTTGTAGTGCTTTAAGCCCTAAGAGATCCAGGACATCGGAACACCTAAACTTGGGAAAAGGAAGTGTGAGTGACTTTGGCCTAAATCTGGGTCTAGCGCTTTCACTTAAGTTAGTTAGCTCAGAGCCAGGTGAGTAGGTGGTCTGGGTTTTTCAGCCACGCAGGAAAAGCAAGCCGGAAAAGAACACAGTGCCTGGTGGGCTTTACCTCTCCCAGCTGGTGACGTAATGACCACACAGCACAGTAATGTAATTACCAACCGCATTGTAAAGTAGTTATGGGCTGGACCAACAAATTGTGTGGAAATTGGGTCAGGAGTCTTATGTTACACTTGGTAACCTAAAATATTGTCACGGCATGGCAGTAGTGTGCATTGCCATTCTTCATGCCCCATCGTGCTAGCTTTTTAATGTCGTGAATTTTACATTAGATTCAGCCTTTTGAATTAGGTTGTAGAGAGAACTGTATTTTCCATTGCTAGAGGAGACAGGAGTTCTTGAGGGAGAAACAGGCTGGAACTTGAATTGTTATCAGAGCCAGTGAGGTCACAGGGGTCAGGCTTAGAAAAGGCCTAGACGGAAGTTGTGGCTGAACTGCTTGGTGCAGAATCACTTCAGCTCAGCTAGTCTTCACTGCTAAAAGGGGAGATGTCTAAGAACTTGTCTTAAACTTCATCTTAGAGCCCTTCTTTGTTGCCGTAGCCTTGCTTCAAAGGGTTCAAATGTAAGATAGCATGTACTATTTTAAAAGTGTAATGCCAAGCTCCTTGGCTTTAATCTTTGGTCCTTTGATTATTGAGGCCCTCAGAGAATGAACGGATGGTGGTGGATGACGTTTGCCATGAGCATATCTGAGACTTATACTGGTTGTCAGCTCTTTCTTCCTTATCCCAAAGTTGTTGACATCCTGTGCATATTAAGATTTATTTAGTTTTATGTATGTGTATGTGTGTGTGTGTGTGTGTGTATGTATGTGTACCACATACATGAAGTGCCTGTGCAGGCCGGAAGAAGATGTCTAATTCCCAGGAATGGCAGTGTGAGCTGCAACTCCCTCCCTTAATTTGGGATTTGGGTGCTAGGAACTGAACCCCAGTCCTTGATGCAAGAGCATCAAGTAGTATTAACTACCCAGACATCTTTCCAGCCTCTTGGGGATACGTTTTGTTGTATTTTTAATCTTTGTTTTGGGGCTTAGTGTGGTGATGGCATCCTGAAGCCAACTCAATGGCTTTTTCACACAGCTAGTGTCTAGATAATAGAACCATGGTGTAGACTCGTGATCAGGGCTTTGATTTCTAAGTGGAGGTAGAGGTCACATATTCGATGTAATAGCATGACATTTTTTCTAATTTTACAAAGGAAGATATTAGTTTCTGTACAGCATACATGTTCAAAGTAGCATTGTATATTATTAAGTTCACTTAAGCAAATGCAGCTGTATGTATTTCACCGTGACTTTTTACCAATGTGAACTTTGCAATAAACATAAGTAACATCTCAATAATTTTTGATGGTCCCTTTTGGCCTCAGATGATTTTTAAACTGCTCATGAATGCACATGTATATGTGGAAGAGCTGGGCTTGCCTGATATCTGTGGGAACCTAGACAAAAACAATGACTTGTAAATAAAAACAAATTCTTTTCTACATGTGTTTTTAATGATTAAAGTTTCTCAGATGTGTTTGTGATTTAGGGAAAAAATAGACGTTAGCCTTGGGTATAGGGAAAGTTGCTGTGATCCATTTCTGTCTACCCATGCTGCTCCGGGCACGCTTCCCACTAAGAGTGCTTCTTCATTTCATTTTGAATGGTAGATGGAGTGTAAATAGTATACTGGCATGACCTGATGCCGTCCCTGGAAATTTCTTGGCTAAGTGACTAAGAATTTAAGGAATTATGTTTTTGTGAATATTGTCTTGTAGAATATGCATTCTGCCAAGAATTCTTGATTCCCTTTAGAGCTTTGTTCGAACTTTGAATAAGGTGCATGTTCTGTGCCACACTTTGTTACATAGCCTTAAGAAAAATGGTAGCTGTTCACCCTGATTTAATTCTCTTGGAATCTATCCATTACTCAGAAGAATCCCATGCTTGACTATGGGGAGCTCAGGCTGTATTGATTAGAAACCAAAAGAATTTATAATCAACAAGGATCAGTTTGAGAGTATTGGGGTTTGTTTGTTGTTGCTTTTTTGTGTATGTTTTGTTTTATTTTGTTTTTCAAGACAGGGGTTTTCTGTGTGTGACCCTGGCTGTCTTAGAACTAGCTCTGTAGACCAGGCTGGCCTCAGACTTAGCAGTTTAAGGGTTTAGTGGCTTTTGTATTTTATTTTTTATGTTTTGGCTAGAAAAATTGAGTGTAGAGGATGAAGGTGTGATTTGGCAGAAGTAATGTTATTTAACAGTGGTAATCTGACTGAAATGATTCCATCTATTTTAAAGCAGGTTTTCTTTTCTTTCTTTTTAAAAATTATTTATTTATTATTATTTATACCAGTACACTCTAGGTGTCTTCAGACACACCAGAAGAATGCATTAGATTCCATTACAGATGGTTGTGAGTCACCATGTGGTTGCTGGGAATTGAACTCAGGACCTCTGGAAGAGCAGTCAGTGCTCTTAACCACTGAGCCATCTCTCCAGCCAAAAATCAGGTTTTCTTTTCCCTTTCAAAACTCCCTTTTTGCCTATGTCACTTTCAAAGCTTTATGGGGAGTAGAGCTGAGACATCTAAGAAGCTTTTAACAGTCCTTTGCCATTTTCTTAGGTAGGATAGATTATTCCTAGGTATGTGATATCATCACTTTCTGTTACTTTTCTTTTTAAAACAGGATCTTACTTGTAGCCCTAGCTGGCCTCCAACTCACAGATTTGCCTGTCTCTGAAGGTAATCCTTTCTGTTTCTCAAAGGTCACCTTTTGAGTATCCACGCCTTTTCTCTGCGGTGGTTGTCTTTAAGGTACTAGATAAGGAGGGAAAACCAAGTGTGGCGAAAGCTGAACCACAGTTCCTCTAAAGCTTCTGCTTCAGCCCAGGGTCGGTCTGGTTTACTGATTGCTGAACCCACTGCAGGCTATTTTTTAGTTTATTTCATGGGTTAGACTTTTCAGATCCAGTTGGGCTGGGAACCCCAGTGCTCTTGGAAGAACAGCAAGCTGGCCAGGCAGTGGTGGGGCATGCCTTTAATCCCAGCACTTGGGAGGCAGAGGCAGGCGGATTTCTGAGTTCGAGGCTAGCCTGGTCTACAGAGTGAATTCCAGGACAGCCAGGGCTACACAGAGAAACTGTGTCTCAAACAAACAAACAAACAAACAAACCCACCAGCAAGCTGTCCAATGTCCAAGGCATCTCTTCAGCTCCCCTTCGAGGTTTTCATTTATTTTTAAATTTCTGATTATAATGGCATACATGGTTTTTGTGCATGAACAATTATAGAGAAAATGATGATCTTCAGTCAACTTATTCAGTCTTTATGCTATAAATGTTATTGTAGAAAACTCCTGCTCTTAATACTATAACATTGGCCATTCTTAAAAATTCATTGTTATTATTATTACTATTTATTTTTTTTAAGACAGGATCTCATGATGTAGTTGTGGCTGTCCTGGAACTCCTGCCTGCCACTGCCTCCTGAGCCATGGAATTAGAGGCGTGGTTACCACACCCTGGTGAAATTTATGTTAAAATGTTGTTTTTGATTAAACCTCTTTACACTTGGTAGCTGATCTAGTAGCATAGTCGACTTTGGTTGAACAATACTTGTTTCCTTCCGCCTCTTAGTGCGCACAGGTGGGAACCTTTAAACTTTGAAAAATTGTATCTGTATTTAATTTAAGTTTCCTCTTTAACCCTCCGTGGTAGGCTCTGATAAGATAGAAAGAGCCTAGTTCCTGATTCTAGTTTTCTTTGTTTACACATCGCTTGTGTTATTTATTTATTTATTTGGGTTCTGTCTCTGTCTCTGTCTCTGTCTCTGTCTCTCTCTCTGTCTCTCTCTCTGTCTCTCTCTCTCTCTCTCTTTTGACCAGGGTCTCTTGTTCTCAAAGGCTGAAAATTACCATGACTTTATGATTGATAGTCCAGCCTTTGCTGCCTGGGTTTCAGGCACATGCCACTATGCCTGGTTGATACTGTTGAACCCAGGGTTTCACATATGCTAGGCGAGCGTTCTGTCAGCTGAGCTGCATGCCTCAGCCCATTCTGTCACTTCTGGTATACTGCCCCATTCTGTAAGTCAGCTACTGGTTCTTACAGGTGGCCTGTTCACAAGGACCTTACACATGACCAGAGCCTGGAACCTACACATTACCAGAGCCTGGAATCTATAACTGGACCTTCCTTACATTCTGTCTTAATGGCTAGACAGGATCTCAGTGTGTAGCACTGACTATCCTGGAACTTGCTCTGTGGGTTAGGCTAGCTTTGAACTTATAGAACTCCATTCACCTTTGCCTCCTTATTGCTGGCAATATTAAAGTGGTATACTGTTATACTCAGAAGGTTTTTTTAATATTTATTTTTACTAGTTTTATTTATGTGTATGTGCCTGTGTGAATGCCATGTGTGTAATGGCTCTTTCAGAGTCTAGACTAGAGTGCCAACTCTCTTGGGACTAGGGTTAGAGGAATTTGTGAGCTATCTGATGTGAGAGTTGGGATCTGAACCTGGGTCCTCTGCAAGAGCAGCAAGTACTCTTAACTG